GGCAGGGAGTCTGCTTCTCCCTCTGACCCTCCCCCCTCTCATGTGCTCTCTCTCATTCTCTCTCTCTCAAATAAATAAATAAACAAAATCTTTTAAAAAAAAAAAGAAAAAGAAAAAGAGGAATAGGTGAAGGGAACACTTGCTTTAAAGTCAATGTGATCAGACAATGTGGTATTAATATACAAAGTGACAAGCAGCCCCATGGAAGAGAATATGAGATCCAGAAATAGATAGCAGTTTTTAAGAGAATTTAACTCACCACAAAAATGGTATTTCACTTTCAGTAGGAAAATGTTGAGTGGTTTCATAAGTGGTGCTATCACAATTAACTAAATATCCAGGGGAAAATGAACTCTAAAAAATCAAATCTTGAAAATACAAAAAAAAAAAAAAATTCTGAAGGAAATTTAGGAGAATACTTATCTAATTCATGCTCAAGAATTCTTTTGACAAGACAAGAACCATGGAAGCTATAAGAGAAAACTAGGATTATTTAAAAATAAGTTCCCATGAAGTCAAAAGAAAAATATATAATGAACTATTTGAAACACATTTGATAGACAAAGGATTAGCATCCATAATACAAATAAAGCTCCTCAAAGCAATAAGAAAAAAGACAACCCAAAGGAAAAATACATAATGAGTATGAGCAGCCATCCACAGAAGAGAAAAACATAGATGACCAACAACAGAAGCAGCTGAATTTCATGGATAATGGGGGGAAAGCAAATTCACAATACAGCATCTTTTCAACTACCAAAAATGAAAGAGTGAAAACACCCAGTTCTGATGAAGATGCTCACAGGAGTATGAATTGCTATGCTCTTTTGGAAAGCAATCTAGACTTACACTAAAATTAAAAATACAGACCCTGTGTCTCAGCCATTTTACTTCTGAGAGTATGTTTTACACGTATTAAAGCAGTACTATGTAAAAATATAAGCTCAAGGATAATTATTACATTATTTATAGTGATTTTTAAAAATTGTGCCACTGGGGCACGTGGGTGGCTCAGTCAGTTGGGCATCCAGCTCTTGATTTTGGTTCAGGTTACCGTCATGGGACTGAGCCCTGCATTGGGCTCTGTGTTCCACACGGAGTCTGTCTGTCCCTCTCCCTCTGCTCCTCTACCACCCCCTCCCCTGCTCATACGTGCTCTCTCTCTGAAATAAAGAAATAAATAAAATCATTAAAAAAAAAAACACTGTAAAATTTATCCGTAGGGGAGAGCTAAATGAACTGCAGGTGCTTGTATCATGGAATATTAGGTAGCTGTTGGAACAACTGAATTTAGACCTGCTGAGATGAGACAGACTTCCACAGCACACTGGTCAGGGAAGGAAACAAGTCACAAGGAATATATCTCTATGATAAATATTTTTTAAAAGATAAAAATCTTTTTTAAAAGAGAAGAATCTTGCACACATGTGCATGTATTTATATAAAACTTTCCGCTTGCGGGCAATAAAAGGGGACAATGACTTTTTCAAAAGACTAACCATAATGGAAAACATAATGTCGACCAAAAGGGTTTAATCTCTGTCTATGAAATTAATCTATATAGATTAAAATGGAATGAAAACATCACTCTTACTTCTCTTATTTTAGGATGGGATTGTGGACAATTTCTACCTTAGATTTTTATGGATACTGTAGTGTTAAGAAAAAGAAAAGGAAAAGAACACTGTATTGTATTTGAAAGAACAGGCTCCTCAACTTCCAGCCCTGTGAACTGAGGAAAGTTACCGAATCTCTGTCTGAGCTCTGTTTTGCTACATCGTGGACATAAATGAAAACTTGCAGAGTTCAGGAGAACTTCCTATGATCAAATTGCCAGGCCTCATGGCACAGATCAGAAAACAGGAGGCCTGTGGAGGGAAGGGATTTGCCTGTGATCTTGTAATGACTTAGCTGCAGACACGAACTAAAATATGAGAATCAGGATTCCTAGATTAGTCTTCTTTTCTTTTTTTTTTTTTTAAGAGTTTATTTATTTGAGACAGAGTGATCGAGAGAGAGAGCACAAGCTGGGGGAGAGGCAGAGGGAGAGAGAGAAGCAGGCTCCTTGCTGAGCAGCGAGCCTGACGCGGGGCTTGATCCCAGGACCCCTAGGGTCATGACCTGAGCCGAAGGCTGATGTCCAACTGACTGAGCCACCCAGGTGCCCCCTTATTTTCCCCTTGTACTGACAGCCTCAACACTGGCTTAGAGGTGAGTTGGGGGCAACTAGGGAGACCCTAATGGTGGGAGATAAATATTATTTCTCTGACGTTTGCACTGCAAGGCCATACTTTTCTCAAATCCTCCTGAAATCGAGGTAAAATAAGAATATTTGCTCTGACAGAGCTGTCACAGAGTGACTCACTGACTATCTGACTTAATCACTGGTAGCTACTATTAGTAGTTTTGAGATAATTTAATAACAAAATTTAACAAAATATACGGTTACTGCCTCCTATATCAGACTAATTCCCACTATATTTCAACTTAAATGTACTTTCTCTCGAAACCCCCTTGGAATAGGATAAAAGATCCCTCTCTTTGATATATTTCTATGAAACCCTTAAGTTGTCCCTTGGAGTGTATTTCCACAATGCCTGTCACTGCTGTTAGTCTCTAACTGCCATGAATACATGGACAGCCTCTATCTCGTTCAGCACTGTAACCAAAGCACAAAGTTTGGTATATACACTGTAAACATTAAGTATTTGTTTAATGATTTATTCGTCCCACAAAGGCCACTTGCTGCATCCCCAATAAATCAGATGTTTATATATCTGCTTGTCCATCTCTAGACTCTCCTTAACTGCCAACTCAGTGGGACCAAAATACCAATGACCAAATATTCACGCCATTCTCTTCCAAACCCCTCATATTATGTCCAGGAACAGGATGAATATACCAAGAAATACTGGGCATACACAATAAATGTTTGTACTTGAGGAGGCTGATAATGAAGCAGCTATATATTATATTATTATTAATGTTCTTTTCTAGGAAAAAATTGCATTGTGGACATTTTTTATTAGCAACAGTAACTGATGGCATCTATTTAGTGCTACCCGTAAAGCTCCTTCGGTCAGTATCTCATTTAATCCTTTCAGGAACCATGAACCAAGGTGCAATGAGGAAAGTGAAGGTCAGAATGAATGATTAAGTAACCTGCTACTGAGTGGCACAGCCAGAATTTCAAGTGAGGATTACTGACGTCACAGTTCATGTTCTTGACTTTAGGTTAAACTACTTCCCTTAGAGAAATAAAATATACTCATTCAAAGCATTTAACTACAACCAAAATGGCCCCACTATCTTGGTATCTCACAAAGTGGAAATTCCAAATAACCTCCTCATTTTCTCCAAAGTGTCACTGTATAGTTCGCTAAGTCAGACAACACCTAGCAAACTGTAAACATTTTGCTTTTTTTAAAAATAAACATGACGGTATTTGTACTCTGAGAAGCAAAGTGGTATGTTTTCATGAAGGACATTTTGGATAAAACTTAAATTTAAAGCAGCCATAAAAACTCACCCACAAAGGCTGCCATCTGAGCTGCTGTTCTTCCTACAGAGTTGACAACATCTGTCTCGGCACCGGCCTCCAACATTACCCATGTGATGTCTTTGTTACCTGACGTTAAAAAGGAACATGTCAGTTAATACTAAGGAATGCACAATTCAAATACCTCCTTCTAATTTATCTGGACGCTTTTTCCCCATTTAGTTTTAGGTTTCTATCTTGTGAACATTTTCATTTTTTTCTAAAATGTAAATCATAACCACAGTAAAGAGGAAAATGATACCAAAAATCCACACAGAAATTAACCTCATTTTTTGTAAAACCCCTCCCTCCAGGCAATACACAAATGGTATGGAATTATCACTTTTTTTTTAACAAAATATATTTTTCTTACAGATAAAGCTTAGTGTAAAATCAAAACGAAAAATAGCAACAATAAAGAGAGAGAAAATGAAAAGAAGTCTCCACTTAGTATCTACTAACCCATCCCAACCCTCACACCTATAGGTCCTGGGATAATGATTTAACAGGTGATAGTCTCTCTTTCTATACTCTTTTCTCTCTAAACATCCATTTGCCTTTATTCTATTTGCATTCTATCACTAACGCAATCATTACAAGTATTTTGCTATTATAAACTATACTCAGTGACCAGTTTCTTCCATTAATTTTAGCAAGTTCGAACTATCATTTCCTTAGGAACAGTTCCTGGAAAACACTGCAGAAATCAAAGTTATGCATTTTTTTTTTAAGGTTTTATTTATTTATTTGAGAGAGAGAGCACAAGCAGGGGGAGCTGCAAGCAGAGGGAGAAGCAGGCTCCCCGCTGAGCAGGGAGCCCAATGTGGGACTCGATCCCAGGACCCGAGATCATGACCTGAGCCCAAGGCAGCCGCTTAACTGACTGAGCCACCCAGGCGCCCAAAGTTATGCATATTTTAAATGTAGTTTGCCAGACTGACTTCCAGCAAGGCTGGGCTGATGTGCATATCCCAAAATGGTGCAGAGAAGTCCCTACGCCAATGCTGGACATTATCACTCTTTCTTATCCTCTGCCAATACAGTAAGTGACAAATGATTGTTTATTCTTCCAATTTGCCTTTGTTTATTGGTGAAAGTGTTTTATATCCTTATGAGCCAACTGTATTTCTTTTGTTTTCTGTTCAATTTCGGTCCAATTTTCTATTGCAGCACTTGTTTCTAAATGATTTATGAGAACTCCTGATATATACTGATATGACCCTTAAACACACATAATAAATATTTTCCTTAGTTTTTCATTTGTATTTTACTCCATATATGGTATATTCTATATTTGGAAATGTTAAAATTATATATAATCAAATTGGTCAATGTTATCCTTTTTGAATTATATATTTCATATATCACATTTAGAAATGCTTTCCTTTTATCCCCCAAGTTTTTATTTAAATTCCAGCTAGTTGACATATAGTACAATGTTAGTTTCAGGTGCAGAATATGGTGATTCATCACTTATATGCAACACCGCTATTATGTAATGTTGCTCAAGTGCCCTCATTAATACCCATTACCCATCTAGCCCATCTATGCCCCCCACCGCCCTCCCATGCTTTCCTGTTCCAGGCTTATAAAAATACAGATTACTCCTTTTAAAGTGTGAGAATATTATATTACATCTTTATTTTCTTAAAAAAAAAAGCTACAATTATAGATAACTCCACTTAATTTTAAATGTTTCCCAGTTGTCTTTATTCACAAATCATAAGCAACTAGAATAAGAGTAAGTTTCTAATTGGATCAGCATAATTTAGTACATAAATGTCAGGCAAGCACAGAGACAGCTCTATCATACCAGCTGTTTTCTCAAGACAACAACAAAGACGTTTTCACATTACTTCAAAACACAAGGATACAGTACATCAACAGAACTAACCTGAAGGATTAACGATCTAACTCCTTAACGCTGCATAAGACTGTCAATACAATCAGGTGACTTAAATATGTAAAGAAACATTATCACCAAATTAACTATATAACATATTTCATATATTATAACTTCAAAACCCAATTCCTACTTTTCCTGTAAGAACTGATCTTAAAATTACTGTAATAAAAAAAGCATTTAATTTAAAAGTATGTATGTACTTATACCAAATTGGTATGGATGACTAATATTAATATATTAGAATAAATGCTAAAACTTCACCAGAAAGTGCAGCAAACATGAGGGCTGTGTACCCATGCTCGTGTTGATGACAATTTACATCAGCTCCATGTCGTAAAAGTAATTTGCACATATCAAGTTTTCCTTTATAGGCCGCATGCATTAGAGGAGTCATTCCATTCTTTAATAGAAAGGAAAGAAGTATTAGTTTTACTTATTTACCTTTTCCCCTGTGAACAATTCCTGCAATTAATTTAAAAACAGAAAAGAAACATGAATTACTAAATTCATCTTTATAATCCGTAAAGTACTTTTATGTTTATTTCCTCACTTGGATCTTCCATAAACTGCTGAGGAAAAACGATGGTTTTGTTACCTGATTTTTTTTTTTTATAGGTTAGCAGACAGATTCAGAGAAGACTTGCTCAACCTCACATAACCAGTAAAATGGCTAGGCAAGCACCAAACCTAGATCATGGGGGCTCTCATCTCTACCACACATAGCTCCTGGGAAAACAAATGAACCAACAGATACAAATGCATAAATAATAAAAAAAAAAAAACAAAACCTCAAAACAATTAGAATGCCTGTCAAAGAGAAAGTATGAATGAAGTATGTTATATCCACAACATGGAATACCATGAAGCTATTGACTGAATGCATCTATATCTAGTGAACTGGAGAAATGTCCACACATTACTGCCGATGAGAAAAATAAGATGCAGGAAATGTATATTATCATGATATCATTTTTAAAATAATGATCCCCAAACCCCATGTATATTTTAATTACATATATGATTTGATCATATAAATGATTGTATAAATATCGAGAAATGGTTGGTAGTATTTACACTACATTGTTTAGTCTCCATATGTTTTGTACAGATCCAGTGAAACATCCAAACTTATTTGTTGTGGGTATCTGATACTATTTGGTAGATAAATGAACAAGCTGTTCTAGATAAGTGAATTTTCAAAGTAAACCAGGACAAACTATATAAATGCTAGCATTTCAAAGCTGTTTTTGATAAAAACCTCTCCAAAACATTAAGTCTTTTACTGTGGTAAACCTCTGAATACTAACATACTTTGACTTGTTCTTTATGATTCCACACTGTTATTATGAACAAAAGCCATCAATATTCTTTTTTTTT